AAAGCTATCATTTACAATTGAAGGACAGATAAAGAGGTTCCCAGATAAGAAAAAGCGAAAGGAGTTCATAACCACCAAATAAGTACTACATGAAATGTTAAAGGGTCTTTAAGAAGGAGAAAAAAAGATAAAAAATATGAACAATAAAATGGCAATAAATACATATCTATCAACAATTGAATCTAAAAACACACACACACAAAATAAACAAACATGCAGAACAGAAATAGACTTATAGATACAGAGAACATTTTGACAGTTCCCAGATAGGAGGGGGCAGTTTAGGGGGAAGGATGAAAAGGTGAAGGGATTAAGAAGTACAAATGGGTTGTTACAGAATAGCCACGGGGATGTAAAGTACAGTATAAGGAATATAGTCGATAACATTGTAATAACTGTGTATGGTGTGAGATGGGTATGAGATTTCTTGGGATGATCACTTAGTAAGTTATATAACGTCTAATCGCTGAGGTGTACACCTGTATCTAATATAATATTGTAGGTCAACTGTAACTGAAAAATGAAAAATGATTAAAAAAATGAAAACATGATAAGTAAATGCAATGTGGCATCCTGGGGAAAGGGACATAAGTAGGAAAACAGGTGAAATTCAAATGAGGTCTGTAGATTAGTTAGTAGTGTCATGCTAATGGTAATTTCCTGCTTTTCATGATTTTACTATGCTAATGTAAGATGCAACTGTTCGGAAAAGCTGAGTGAAGTGTGTACAGGAACTCTGTACCATTTTTGCAACTTTTCTTTAAGACTAATAGTATTTAATAATAAAAACTAATGGGATGTTTCCTAGCATCTTCCAAAGGCAACAAAGTTTTTTTTAGTGTTTTTTTTCTTTTTTTTAATAGTATCTTTATGTACTCAAGGATTTCAACATATTTGATTTGTTTCAATCCAATACAGTTAAAATTGTCTCATCTTTGGCCAGTGGGAACATAATTAGGGTGGATCCTGAGGTTTTTTTGACTCAGGCACCCTGAGCCTTCATGACTCCAATAGATTGGTATTTTCTTTGTTTTCCAATATGTAAAAATATTTATTCATTTCAAGCTCCAAACCTGGAGTCAGCTATTTCTCCAAGGATTTCTGCTTTCTTTTAGTGGGCAATGGTCTTTAGAGAATATAATAAGGGTGCTAGAGGGTGCTGATTTTTACTGTATTATTCATAGTTTTGGGGCATTGTCAATGGACAGAGCTAGGAAATATGTTTTGTTTGTTTTAAAGATAAAAAGCACCATAAATTAATATTGATACTTTAAATTCACGTACAGGACTAATTATAGGGTTTTTACTTTAATGTCATCAATCTTACACCTATATTTTCTTTCAACTATGTCAAAATAGTTTCTTCTCAATACCAACATAATCACTCATTTAATACACACACAAAAGTCTCTACCAATTCCACTATTACCACCAACAATATGATTTCCGAAAAGAAATATATACACACTTATATATACACACATATTTGCACTTACTTTTGTCATAAGGTATACTCGACTAAGGATGTACAATCTACTTATTTCAAGCCACTTGGAATAGTTTCTTTCTCTATGGTTATGCCACCAACTAATACATAATTAGATTGCTTTGTTTAGTTTTTCTTTTGTTTTTATGGACAATTCCAATGTGAGTTTTGCTTTATGACTATTTAAAATATTTATTGGCTCCAAAATAAAAATTATAAAATAAACAGTATATTCAAAAAAATCTAACTTCTTTCCCCACCTCTTTTACACTGTCCTCTCACTTTGCTTATAGGTAACCATTTAAAAAGTTATGTTTTATCTTTCTATTTTGTTTTAATGTAAGCATATCTATGTGCATATGAATCCATAAGAAAATGGATGCATTTTCTTAGAAAATGGTCACAGATATACATATTTTCTTCACCTTGCTTTTCTATTGAAAATCCTGGAGATTACGCCATAGCAATCTATAGACATAATCTTTTTTCCTGCCTCCAGCTGCATACTGCTTCATCAGTCAGCCTCTTACTGATGGACATTTGGGTTGATTCTGGTACTGGCTTTACAAACAGTGTTAATGCTGAGGTTTTTTCGTTGACTTTGCAAAGTCTTAGGGGTGGACTCAAGGCACGAGGCTGCCTGGGCAAGAGGGTTCCTTTCACATAGCCAGGGATTTATACTGCACATCCCAGAATGGGGTTCCCGTTCTTCTGGAACTGTAGCCATAGGTGGATCCTGGTTCTTGGATACTTGGGAGTAAGAGGTCCTTAAACTGTGTTTCTCATGGGGGTTAGCATGAGCTGGGGGTTCTTGGTGGCTTTGACAGGCAATTACCGTGACAAGCAGATGGGAAAGAAGAGAATATGGTGCTACAGAATGACCAACCCATGCAAAAAGCACTTAAACACAGATGCCTGGCTTCCCGTTAGGAGAGTTCAATCAGCGCATTCTCCCTTCTTGCATCTCTCGTGTCAGCACTGTGGTAGGTTATCAGTGTCTGTAGGACCTTGGTAATACTGTTTCTGAGCAGTCTCTCCCTCTTTTCTGCCCTCATCCTAACTTATTTCTCCTCAGATTACCCCTAAGTTGCCGCATAGCTTACTTCTGCTCTGACAATCATGGTGTAACCCTTTTGGAGTAAACCACGCTGTCCTGTTTTTATTCTACTCCTCTGACTGCTTCTTAGTCTCTTTTCTCTCTCCCTGCCCCTTAGGGTTGCTGTCCCCCAAGGAGCTATTCCTAGCCTTTTTCTCAGTAACCTTTGATTTTTCAGAAGGAGCTTTTTAATGAAAGCTATGGATTTACTCTTTCCTAAGAAAAATGTACATTTATTTCTACCTGTATGCAGATTTGTGCATATAATTTCAAGGAGTTCATGGGCACCCTTCATGAGCACAAGTTCAAGAACATCTTCTCTCACGTACTCTGGGCTTCCTCTCCCAGGACCATCATAGCTGTTTAATCACAAATGGTTCCCAAATCCATATCTCATGCCCCGGCCTCTTTTCTGATCTCCACATGCCTCCAGGGCATCCCTCCCTGGTGATCTATAGATCTATAGACCATGTCTATAGCTGAGGTTGCCCTCTCCTTTCACAGATCTGCTCCTCTGTCCTTGACTCAATGGGTAGCTGCATCATTTGGTTTGCTGTTCATGACACAACCCAGGAGATATTCTCTATTTCTTCCCTACCATTCTCTATATCTAATCAATGACTCTGAAATGGGAGCAAGACCTTTAGATTTCCCCCACGCCACAGCCCTAGTTCAGGCCACCATCATCTCTCACCTGGATGGCTGTAACAGCCTCTTAACTGGTCTCTGGCCTTTAGAAGCAACCTCTTTCCACCTGGGTTTCTATTTTTGCACAGTGGCGGGTGAGATCTTTCTAAATTGCAAGTCCGACCGTATCACTTCTCTGTTGCTGACTCTTCAAAAGCTTCCCATTGCCCCACTGAAAAGTCTTGGCATGATACAAAAGGCGTTCATGATCTCTCTCTCCTCATTGCTTGCTCACTGGGATTTCCGACTTCTATATCTACTTTTTTCAGGATCTCTGCACTGGTGGGAGCTAAGGTTGAGATCTGATACAAAACTTAATTTTGAAAAAGTCTGATAAGTCATCAAAGCAGGTCCAAATATCACTGAATGGAACAGGGCCAAACCTGGAGAATGGAGACCAGATCACAAACACTTACTGAGGAGCTTCTATGTGCAAGGGAGTTCTGAAGGAGATACAGAGATGAGCAACACAAGGTTCTGCACCAAGAGCCTCACAGCCTCACAGGAGTGGACAAAAGAGGCATGTTCCAAATGAAGTATTCAACAGGATAGTTAGATGTCACCACATACCAGGCTTTGTAACATAAAGGAAAATGCAATTAAATGTCATAAGAAAGGAAAAGTACTATAGGGATGCAAGTGGGGATAGATTAGTGAAGTCTTTGTGGGAGAGAAGGGCTGAAGACTTGAAAGGTGGGTGGGGCATGGTCCAGAAGAGAAGGGGTCAGGGACTGGGAGAGCCTCCAGGCAGAGGGAACTGAGGAGTGAATGTGTATACTGTGCCCTTGGAAGTGAACCACAGCTGCAGGGTCCTGTTCTCACCTGGGCCCAGCCTCCAGCTTCGGAGGAGGTTTTGGGAGTTGAAGAATGGCTTCATCTGCCTTTCTCTACATTCACATATGAAACCCTAAAATGGTTCTGAGGTGTCATGGATGTTACCACCAAGTATGGTGGTTGTGTGTTTCACAGATAAAAGAGTGAGGTTCAGAGGAATTCAAGTAAAAATTTCAGACATTTAAAGTACTTTCTATGCACTAGGCATAGAAATCATGGGAATATAGAAACACTTAAAATTAGTTTTCTGCCCTTACAGAAGTAGAGTTTTCAGCTACCAGCGTTCAGAAGAATAGCAAATCGCTTTTAGCTTAGATGCGAGGTGGTAGTCAAGAAAGGCTTCTTGGAGGAGGTATGATTTGAGCAGAATCCTAAACTAAGGATAGGGCTTGCATAGCTGGGGAGGCACAAGGGAAATTCCAGGTGTGGGCAAAGCACAGGGCATGTTCAGAGGACAGTGAAGACTCTAACTGGGTTCTGGACAGGGGCATCCAGGCAGTTTGATCTGTGGAAATAAGGCTGGTGGAGCCCTGCCCGATGTGGCTCAGTTGGTTGGAGCCACACCAAAGGATCGTGGGTTCAATTCCTGATCAGGGCACATACCCAGGTTGTGGGTTCGATCCCCAGTTGGGGTGCACGTGGGAGGCAACCGATCGATGTTTTACTCTTGAATCCATGTTTCTCTCTCTCTCCCTCTCCCTTCCTCTCTCTCTAAAAATCAATGAAAGCATGTCTTTACGTGAGGATTAAAAAAGAAAAGAAAACAGCCAGTTTCAATTGGCAGACAATTAAAAAAAGAAAAGAAATAAAGGCTTGGGGAGTAGGTAGGAGCTGGGCGTTGGCCTTAAATAATTCAGTTTCTCTCTCCTCCTCACCACCTGCTCTGTATTCCACCAGGACCAGCTACTCTTCTGTGATGATTGTGACCGTGGCTACCACATGTACTGTTTAAACCCCCCGGTGGCTGAGCCCCCAGAAGGTAATGGTGATGAGGCCGACAATCACAGCAGCAGCCACCACTACTACTTACTGAGCCCTCACTGCGGTGCAGGCCTTGGGCTAAGGGCTTTACATATCTTGTATCATTTAATCATCACAACTCTGCGAGGCAGGTACAACCGCTACCATTTTACAGATGAAGAAACTGAGGCACAGTTCAACCAGCTGATATTTCAACTTGAGGATCGAAGAGATGTTTCCCAGACATGTAGCTGAGGTGGTGGGAGGTGTGAGCTTCCCGGGGACCTGGGCCAGGCCCTGGGGATGCGGGTTAAGAGGCAGGATCGAGGAGGGAGGGTCTTTACAACAGTCAGCTGGTCCCCTCTGAGCACTTACTGTTTTCTGAGCAGCACTTGCTCTCTGCTGAGGTACAGACTCCAGCTCGTTTCCAGCACTGGGATTCAGTCTCTGAATTACGAAAGTCAGAAGAAAACAGGGTTAGAAGGACTTAGGGCCCAGGGGCGGGGCTGGAGGGTTGGGAGAAGCGCCGCTAGTCATGCATCTTGTTTCTCGCAGGAAGCTGGAGCTGCCACTTATGCTGGGAACTGCTCAAAGAAAAAGCCTCAGCCTTTGGCTGCCAAGCCTAGGGCCCCAGGTCACGCCAGTGACTTGCTGCTGGAGCGGTTGAACCAGAGCCCAGTTCAAAGCAGATCGAGCCCCTACTCCCCTGTATCCAGACAGACCAGCTGTGAGGAAGACCAGGAATCCCAGAGGGCACGGACCCGCGGAGCCGGGAGGGCGCAGCCCCACACTCTGGTTCGGTACTCCGGCCACCCCCCTGGTTTCCCCGGGAAGGACCTTGCACTCTGGAGAGCAGCCCAGCCCAGCCCGAGGGAGCCCTCACGTCTGCCCAGCGCCCACTGGTTCCCGTTTCAAGGGAAGGCGCTTTGTGACCACCGTCGTTGTTTGTGTGTAGTTCTGTGTTTTCTATCTATTGTGTTTTAAGAAAACTCCTTGCAGCTCCTGCCTCCAGCTTAGGCTCTTTGTCCTGAGATCAGCAGAGGAACAAAGGGCTGTGAAGAAGTGGTTATTTCTCAGAAGCCTCCCTGAAAACTTCTAGACGCAGCCTGGAGGCCGTCTTGACCGTGAAAGTCCCTCCTTGTTCCTTGGTCTCTGTGAAGAGGAAGAGCTGCTTTCGGGACCCTGGCAGATACCAAGGGGCACCACAGCCAGGGTGGTCTCTGGATGGGGCTGGGAGGGCGGTGGAGGCACTGGGGGTGGGAGGAAAGATTCTGAAGATGGTCTGAGGCCCTGCAGTAGCCAGGGAGTATTTGTCACCCACCGGGAGTGGCTCTGCGGGGGCCAGGCTGTGCGGTTCCGGTCGCCTTGGAACTGGGGCATCCTTGCGGTGAGACGGCAACAACCTCTGGGCAGAAGAGGTGTTAGACTCCGCCTCCCGACCAGCCTGGGTCTGGAGCTTTCCCTGGGGGGACTCGAGAACCAGGGAAGGGAGTGAAAAAGGCAGCCCAGTCGAAAGTCTAAACGTTGGTAAAAGGACAGCAGCTTTGAGAAACCTTCAGTATTGATGTGACACTACAAATTCCTTTTCCCAAGTCATTTCTTCCTTCCATGAAGTGCGTGTCCGCCGTTGTCCACTGAGACCTGACTCTGGAAGTTTTAGGATGGGAGAGAGATGATCGTTACCTAGACAAATAATCGGGGTGATGTGATTATTTATGACCAAGGCGGCAGCAATGCAGAGCCCTCAGCTCCAGGGCTGCTTTTGTCTCTTAAGCTCCCACGTACGTGCTGGACGCTTGTTATTTTTTTTCCTCTCTCCTTTTTAAGTGAATCAAGAAGAAAGAGGTGGGGACGTTCGGATTTTGAGAAGTCTGTGTGGGGAGTCCACCCCGTGGGCTTGAGTGGACCAGGCCGTCTTTGAATCTCAACAGCAGTGGCAGCCAGCAGCACACAATACCGACAGGTTTCTGGAAAAATCATTTGCCCAAAGGGCAGGTCTCGGTGAGCGGGACCCTGGCGCATGCTCAGCTTCCCTGAAGCCAGCTCCATCTCTGTGGTCCGCTGCTCACAACAAAGGCCGAGGTTATTTTTAGCCCTTCAGCTCCTGAAGAAGCCCCTGGGGACCTGGAGACGGGGGCTAGTTGGGCCACTTCTGCCCGCTGCGGTGTTCAGCCGGAGACTTGGCAAGAGCCTTCGTCCCGGCTAATTGCTCTTGGCCAGTGGACCCAGGGCAGCCTGGCGTGGAGCCTGGCCGTGTTGGTCTCTCTCAGTCCTTTGCAGAGTGACCTGTGGCCAGAGATGGAGGTCACTCTCCTGCAGGGGCCTGTGGCCTTGGAGTGAGTTACACGCATACGTAATTATGTCATTTAAAGGGCCTTGTCCAGATGGGATTTCATCTTTCTCATGAGGTGGTTCCTTTTCCCTGCTGACTGGTGAACCTGTTTTGGATGCTGGAGGCCTGGGGAGGGTTTGGGAAGCTGCCATGTTGTCACATCATTTGTATATTCGAGGGCCACATCAGAGGGACATACCTCTTCTCCCCAGTGCTCTGGCTCTCTATCTCCCACCCCCAAACCCAAAATAGGGTGTCCTCAAAGGCCGATTATTGGTTTTGAAAATCACTTCAACTTAATTTTGGGAAAAAAAGTTACCAAAATGTTCCAAAATGCCACAATGGCTTAAAAGTTAAAAAAGCAAATTTGAAACCAAGAACTGTGGCCCAACTACTTGATGGGTCATCTTTGGAATGCTTGCGAATCTGTTCCCACCTCAACACAGTTGCTGGCGGGGGCCCTATCCTGTCTCCAGGCACGCCTGCTGCCCACAGAAGCTGTGAGGGCCGGAGTGAGTCTTGCAGACAAGGAGGGGGCTGTAATCCACTGCAGTGGTGGGGACGCTCAGGGCTCTGGAATGACATCAGGAAGACCCAGAGTCCACTTCCCAGTTTCACTCTGTGCAGGATGGGCCCAGCCCCTTCCTCTTTGGGGAGCAGTTTCCCCACCTGGAAAGTGGGGCTGGCAAACAGCGTGTAAGATGGCACTTTCAGGATACTCTGGCAGACACAGTCACATTTGTCACCTTCTATATTGAAAAAACAAGGTAATGGCAAACTCCATATTGGTCTTTCTTTGAGCCCCAGAGAATGAACCAGAATCGTAGGGTGCATGTGGATAATTAGGGTTTTAGTTTTGCCTCTGGCATTGAGTAGCTGTGTGAACTTGGGCAAGTCACTTAACAACTCTGAATCTGAGTTTGCCCACCTGTGAAATGGAGATAATAATACTTGCCCTGCCTATTCCACAGTGGCACTGGGAGACCTAAAAAGAATAATGTTATATAAATTACCATTGGAGAGCAGTGCTTGTCAGAGAGGGACTCCAAATAATTTCTATGCCCCCTTTCTAGTGTGAGTTAGCCAAGGTTAGATGCCTTCTAAAAATCTCCATTTTGACCAAACAGGGTTTATGTTTTAAGGGCCATGCTGGTCAGGGCCATTAGGCCAAAACAGTGACAAAGGAAACTGATTGCATGGGTCTGTAGTGGGATGCGAGGGTTTACCCTGGGGTTGGGGACTGAGGGTGAAGTAGCTTGAGATACTACCTTCTCTAAGATCAGTGCAGCCTGCAATGGGGAGCTAACTTCTAGAGAGGGCCGTAATTCAGTTCAGTGGCACATCCACTTAAAATGTTTGGTTTAAAGCCTAGCTCCACTGCTTTCTGGCTGGTCGACATTGGGGAAATGGCTTGACCTCTCTGAGCCTCATTCTCCATATCTGTCAGGTGGGAGAGGCGACCTCTCCAGCCGGGCTGTTACAGGGATCAGAGGTGATGCTGGTGAAGACCCTGGCACGGGGCCTGGCATGAAGGTCCCCACACCATGATAGCTCTTGTCATTGTGTAGAGCATCTCAAGCGGAGGTAATGATGCTGTGGACCCCCAGCTCTGATCTTTGGAACAGGGTGTCTTTGTTTCACTCCAACATGACTCCAGCCAACCGTGGAGAAGGTGAGGCTGCAGGATCCAAGCCGGAAGCTGAAACTCTCTGTTTCCTGTAGGTATTTTTGAAACACTGCTTTTTGGGCCTGCAGCAAATGCAGTGCAGGCCACACTAGAGGAAACAGAGACCAGGCTCCTGCTAGGAGACTTACAGTCTAGCTCTCCTCTCAGCTCCCCACTGACTCATCGCAGGCACCTAAGGCAGGAGCCAGCAGATCCCAAGGCTCCCCTGCTCCTGTCATCGCCCCAGGGCCAGGTAGGAAGTCAAGGCAGGCAGCCCAGGCAGGCCGTGGGGAGCAGCTTCTCCCCCAGGCTCAGCTCAGTGTGACTGAACCCCCTAGGAAGTGGGTGGTGGGACGGAGGCCAGGTTCCTCCCGAGCTGGGGAAGGCACCAGGTTTTAAGGTGGGGAGGGTTAGGCTTTCACAGTGGCGGTTCGTGATACTCTGCACAGTCCTACTCATGGTGCATTTTAGTCTTTGTGCTTTGAACAGAGTGTGATTCCTTTCACCCCTCCCCTTAAAAAGTTCAGATATTTTAAGGAAGAAAAATAAGATGATGATTATTACTTTTCCAAAGGGGGCATGTTTAGGGGACAGACCTGTGCTCTCCTGTGTTGTTGAAGAAAGATGACTGGCAACCTCAGGCCTCGGGGCTCAGAGAAGAGGGGCTATGTGTGTAGGAGTGGGAGCCCTGAGGACCACCCTCCCTGCCCCACAGGCCTGCTCTCAGCCTCCCTCTCACTCCCTGCCCTCCAGGCCCTCCCCTGCTGCCCACTGCAGGCCCCTCCTCAAAGCGTCCCTGTGTCACAACCCAAGGGAAGTGACAACTGGGCCAGAGCTCTGCTCACACTCCCAATGAAGATGCTGATGTGCCACGCCTGCCCCTGCCTGCAGCTGTGCATTGGTCAGTTGTAGGTTCACATCCCTGGAGAGGGCAGGAGGAAGGGGGCACTTCAGGAGGGGGCAGGAAACACGATTTCCACTTAGGGACAAATCCAGGAGCTAAATACCTAGGGGGCCTGGGATGGGAAGGAAGAATTAGTACAACCCATTTTCCCCCCCTCAGGCCCTTGATCTTGCACAACGTGATATATATATATTTAAAGGCCAAGCTTTTGTCCAGTTCTGGACACCAAACCAGATCCCCCTGTCTTGAGGTCCCCTGGCCTCTGGCTCCTTGTTTGTTGGGGGGCTTCCCAAGGCAAATCAGGCAGGAGCAGTGCCCTCACCTGGCTGGAGGTGGGAGGTGCAGAGGGTCTCCGGGCTGGGTCCCTATGGATTATCCCACTCCCATGGGGACTTTCTGAGATAAGCTGCTGAGGCCCCTCCTGATCTGGCTGGGGAAAGAGATGGCAGCAGAGGGTGGGCTAGATTGGGACCCAGCAGCCTCGGGGAGTGGAAGGTTCCAGGTGCTGTTACCAGGGGGGACAGGCAGCTGGGAAGTGAATTGGGGGGAACCTGGCGTTCCCCTCCCCCTGTTGTGTGCTTCCCTGTTGGAATCTCACTCCCACCCCGAAGGATGCTTTTGGCTTTCACATCAGCCCAGTTTCATCTGGATTTCAGGTGAGGATTGGGGACGATGGTGGAAAGCAACTGATACTTTAATTGCCTAAGGCCTGCAAGTGTCCCACCGAAACCAGGGACCCTGCTGTTTCCTTAGGTCTCATGGATC